TCTCTGCTAATGTCTCCACTGCTAAAAGGACATACTATCATAAAATTAACAATTTGTCTAACTCTCACATGCTCTTTAAAACAATTCCTCCCTCCTTTGTCCTCCTCCTCCTTCATCAACTCTAACAGCTCCCCTCAACATTTAGACAGGCTCGTATAACCCCTCTACTTAAAAACAACCCACCCTTAACCCATCTCTTTTAGAGAACTACAGACCAGTTTCCCTTCTTCCTTTCATTGCAAAAGCACTTGAATAAGCTGTGCTCAACCAAGTCTCTGCCTTTCTCACACAGAACAACCTCCTCGACAGCAAAGTGGACATTCAACCGAGACAGCCTTGCTCTCAGTTGCTGAAGCCCTAAGACTGGCAAGAGCGGATTCCAGATCTTCTATACTTAGCTTGCTGGATCTGTCGGCTGCTTTTGACATGGTTAACCACCAGATCCTCCTGTCAACCCTATTGGCAAAGGGCATCTCAGGAACCACACTCTTCTCAGACCACATTGCTAAAACTGAGCAGATTTGCTTTATTCAACATCAGGAAGATCAGGTCCCTTCTTTCGGAACATGCTTCACAACTCCTTGTTCAAGCTCTTGTTCTGTCCAGGCTGGACTATTGTAATGCTCTCTTGGCAGGTCTTTCAGCAGTTCTATCAAACCTTTACAATTAATCCAGAATGTGGCTGCAAGATTATTTTTTAATGAGCCGAAAAGAATGCACGTCACACCTCTGTTTATCAATTTGCACTGGCTACCAATAGCACTGGCTACAAATAGCTGCTCGCATAAAATTCAAGGCATTGATGTTTGCCTACAAAACCACCACAGGCTCTGCACCCCTTTACCTAAAATCATTACTTCAGACTTATGTGCCTCTAGAAGCTTGCATCCTGCAAGTGAACGGCGTATTATTGTGCCATCACAAAAGAAGCACAAAATCACTTTCACGGACTTTTAAATTAAATGTTCCCTCCTGGAGGAATGACCTGCCCAACTCAATCCAATCATCTTCAAGAATCGGCTAAAAACACATCTCTTCCATCTTTAGTTGACCCTCTAACTCTAGCACTCTCTATTCTAATTCTATTCTTAAAAAAAAAAAAAACACTTGCCCCTTTTAGACTTGCACTCTATTCATTTATTAACTGCTTATTTTCTTTAAAAAAAGGCCTCTAACACTAGCTTGCTCTATTCTTTTTCTATTCTATATGTTTTATTTTTATTTATTATATAATTAAAAAAAAAAGACCTTGCTACGTGTGCTGTGTTAGGCTAACTGAGACTTATATCACTTGCGTATCGTTTCTCTTTTGTTGATTTTGATTGCTTCCATTGTCCTCATTTGTAAGTCGCTTTGGATAAGTGTCTGCTAAATGACTAAATGTAAATTTAATTAGTTGGTATAAAGAAACCAGTCCATACCTTGAGGGAGAGGTCTCTGCTTTTATCCCAGACTTGCTGAATGAGAGTGGGTTGGCCGTTGCCCGTATCATACAGGTCAGCCCGGACTCGATCGTACACATACAGCAGATAGTGAGTGTCAGCCTGAGCGTACTTTAACATCTCATCCGGCAATGGTCTACAGACACACAACACACACTAGTATTACCACAATGACTGTTACAGCTATCAGACAAATAGAAAATGGGTCTTGAGTTCATTTTTGTCTTACATAATGAGATTAGATCAATGAGGAATGATTGTCTGTGCTAAATGTATTGAGCGTTGGGATTACCGTATCCTCCAGTCTGCCAGCTGGTAGCGTTTATCAGAGTTCACATTGCAGTAGACTTTCAGGAGATGGTCAAGGGAGTTTCGGCCGAGGTTTAGGCAACGCGCAGCATGATGGGTGTCGAACATGTTGACCACATAAAGACCAAAGTCCTTTTGTAGCCACTCGATGTCAGAGTCGGCACCGTGAAACACCTGCAGGAACAACACGTGATGCATGCAACAAACAACATGAACCTCAGTAATCATCAAATGGCATTCACAGCATATTTAATATCCATAATGTAACATTTTTATGAATGAAAATTAACCTTCAGCTGGATTTGAAAATGTAAGGTGGGACATTAATTTGTTTGATGGATGAAACTTGTTGGGCTATGATATTTATGTTTTTGTTTTGTTTTTTTCTTTACCACACATCCAGCCTTAGTTCCATCAGCACAAGTCATTTTGGAGGTGAATGATTTATTACACATAAGGGAACATTATTAGTAAAAAGAGCCAATTTAATTTTAGGCAACCGCCAAAATTCAGCCTACAGCTACAGTATTATTTTAAGAATTACAGTATTATTTTATATCTTGCATAAACACACAAACCCGTGTTGTTTTAATAATTGTGATACTAATATAGCTTTTTTTTTTAGATTTTTAATTTGTATTTTAATTTTAGTAATTATGTTTTGTTTTTTAATTTATTTTGAATTTTTAAACTTTTTTTTAATGTCAATATAGTTTTTCATTTTTATTTCAGTTTTACCTAGTTATTTTAGTACATTAATTTAATCTAAATGAAAATGAGTAATGCTACCTGGCAACTAAAAAATAAAAAGAAGTTTTAAGTGTCTGTGTACGTACGTAAAACACAATGACAGGATTAGTAAAAACTAGATTAGTAAACAAGCTAGAGCAGAGGAGAAATGCATTCTATAAATATATATAAACTATATAAACATTTAAAAACAACAAAAACGGATTAAAAAAGACAAAAACAACAAAATTACTAAAACTTTACAGTTAATATGAAAGCAGAAAATATCAAAATAAAATCTAATTAAAAATATTATAAAACTCTAAAAAATATATTAGTATCTCCATGACACTAAAATGACACTGATACCGAGTAAGAACATCACTATTTGTGCCTTTATGGTTGTGGGTTAGTTAAGCGCTTGTTTCCGGGTTAGTTAAGCTATTTTTTCCGGGTTGGTTAAGCGCTTGTTTCCGGGTTAGTTAAGCTATTGTTTCCGGGTTAGTTAAGCGCTTGTTTCCGGGTTGGTTAAGTGCTTGTTTCCGGGTTAGCTAAGTGCTTGTTTCCGGGTTAGTCAAGCTATTGTTTCCGGGTTGGTTAAACACTTGTTTCCGGGTTAGTTAAGCACTTGTTCCCGGGTTAGTTAAGCATTTGTTCCCGGATTGGTTAAGTGATTGTTTTTGGATTAGTTAAGCGCTCGTTTACAGGTTAGTTAAGTGACTGTTCCTGGGTTAGTTAAGCGCTTGTTTCCAGATTGGTTAAGCTATTGTATATATATATATATATAGGCATAATTATTAGCATTATCATTATTTATTTATTTTCTTCTTATTCTAGTTACAAAAGTGATTTATTCAAGAGCGGTGAGAGATTTTCTCTCACTGTTGTTTGAGTAACATGAATGGCAGACAGAACGAATATTGGACAACTTACCCTTTAAGACCGAAGTCCGGATCCAATATACTGTTACACATGCGCTTTCTCCTGCAACTGTTTACGTTCCCTTAATACCTAAATGACTGTGTTTATGAGGATACTTGCAAAGCCGGGCATTTGGATGCATATAAGTGTTTATGCAATCTTCAAAGCCAATAAAGTGGCAAAAATTCTCACGAGCTCTAAACAGAGACAGCGCGCGCATATAGCTCTGTTGTTTGTGTTTCAACGGCCTAAAATCAGTTGTTTTAAACTGCAGCGCTTAAAAACGCGTGCAAACATTAAGATTTCGTTACCACGCGCACAGCAACGTGACGTGAGCGCACATGCTGTTATTCACGTTTCTGCCTGCATCCCCGTGTAATGCATGTAAGACTGCCTTCATTCAATGAAAAAGTATTGCCGTAAACAATGTATTTTGCGGCACCACGAAATAAACGATAGAGCATAATATGAAACGATAGACTTTTAATTTCGTCCATCCGATATATATCGTCATATCGCCCAGCCCTATTTTATATTGCCTGCTGCTTTAAACTTTCTCTCGCAACCGTTTACGTTCCCTTAAGACCTAAATGACTGTGTTTATGAGGATAGGCTACTTGCAAAGCCGGGCATTTGGACGCATATAAGAGTTTATGCAATCGTTCAAAGCCAATAAAGCGGCAAAAATGCTCACGAGCTCTATTAGCAGCTGATGCGCGGCTTACGCATTCCTTTTACACAGAAACAGAGACAGCGCGCACATATAGCTCTGTTTGTGTTTCAACAGCCTAAAATCAGTTGTTTTAAACTGCAGTGCTTAAAAACGCGTGCAAACATTAAGTTTTCGTGACCACGCAACGTGGCGTGAGCGCGCATGCTGTTATTCACGTTTCTGCCTGCATCCCCGTGTAATGCATGTAAGACTGCCGTCATTCAAATTATGAAAAAGTATTGCCATAAAAAATGTATTTTGCGGCACCACGAAATAAACGATAGAGCATAATATGAAACGATAGACTTTTAATTTCGTCCATCCGATATATATCGTCATATCGCCCAGCCCTATTTTATATTGCCTGCTGCTTTAAATGCTCAAGTTTTTTTTTAAAGCCAGGTGGATTCTGAATGGCTGTGAATGTTTTAATCATTCATCAGTGTGGGCTTTACTGCTCTCATAGAACTAGAACAATTATTAAAACTTGATAGTTACTGTTATCTTCTTGGTGTGAATGGGCTTGATGGACAGACATATACAGACAAAGCAGAAGACCTAAGCTTGAATCTCAGTGGTGTCACAGTGCAAGCCTCGTACCACTTTCTCAAGGATGGCATCGTTTGAGTCCACCACCAGGTCAAACCTGTCCTCCAGCCCAGTCAGTCTGTTCCTGTCTCTCATGTGAGACCGACAGCTATGATGCTGCATTATCTGGCTCATACTGTCAGAGAAATACACACAGATATTGGAACAATAAGTCTCCAGTTACAACATAATGAAGCCTAATACTATAATAATAATAATAATAATAAGGAAGCATTTATTCATGTTTCATACATGCAATGGAGGCCAAACTGAAGTTATGTTTTTCTTGCAGAACTTTGTAGGATTGACTTTTATTTCTGTTTATAGTCCTATAAAAGAAAATCCAGTATGATATAATTGGAATACTTTCTTGCTACTGGCCAATTAGCTATTGTATAGAAGTATCTGTATAGATGTATACTGTGTTCTTATAGATTGAATAGATTCTTATATCCCAGATAAGCATTTCCTTTATTATCTTTTCATTAATATACAGTGTATAATTATCTTATATTATAAATTATACTGGCCCTATTGTGAGCTAGCATCTCAAATGTAGGGATGCGTTATGTTTGAATCCTATAAGAACATCCCAGTTAGGACTGGCTGCAGATTCCAAATTCCTAAAGGACTGTTTAACAACCCGGGTTTTCTGTTTAATAGCTTAAAACCTTTTTAGGACCAAGTAAAGAGAATCTAATGAACACAATGTGTCGTATTAGCAACACTTCAAAAGCTTGAAAATGCAACTTCCAACCCATCTCCATCACTTTTTAATTCAGATAGATAGATACTGCTCCCAACCTCTAGAATATAGAAAATAACTTTTACTGTACCTTCTGGTCACATTGCAAGAAAGTGACGTTTTTTTTCACAATATTTTTCTTGTTTTCCAGCACAAATCTCTAAGGTTTCTCAAATCAAGATACGTTTACTTGAGAAACACAACGACATAAGTCTTGTTCTCTGTAAAATTGTTGAAAAGGAAGTGAGATTATGATTAAAAATACTAAGTATCAGCCAATGAGCTTAGAAAAAAATCAACTTTAAAGGGAAAACAACTTTTCATACCCCACTGACAGATATTTGTTTGTTTTAAACAGAATTTGGTTAAATTTCTCAGAAAGAAAACGTGTTTCATATTCATTTTTCAACTCAAGTAAGAAAATGCACCTTGATTTAAGGACGTTTACATATTTGTATTGGGGGGGAAAAACTGAGGAAGACATACATTTTTAGGCCTTATATACAACATTCAATGCCATGACCTTAAGACTTTCTGCTCTGATTTTATTTGTGGAAGGGCAAATTAAGACTAGAAAAATTATGATAAGCAGAAACCCTGAACATTGTTTTTACTTCATACCTTGATTTTCTGTATATGTTCCATGATCTACTTTGTGATTTATATCACAAGAGTTAGCCATTAAAACACCCATATGATTAATGAGTGTATCATGGTGCAGTGCGTGAGTAAGGAAGGGTGTTGTACCAGTGTAAGAGCTGGTCTCCCTGTGAAGCGCAGAACTGCTGGAAGGCAGGGAAGCTGCGGTACAGATCAAACTCATCCCCGGCTGCTGGAAGAGCTGCAGACGCTTTGGTGGCCGCGACCACCGCTCCCAGCCCGTGCTGTCAAACACACACCAGCGAACAGCTATTCAGCTACATCTCAAACCGCACTGCGTGTGCACACATGACTGCTGTGTTACAGTTAGTTATAGCGCTGACAACGAAATTCACACATCGAAACGATCCACCGACCTTGACAAATGCATCGACATCCTTAAAACCCGGACAAAACTCCGATTCCTCCCCTGTTTCTTCAGATGGTGAAGAATGATCACTCGGTTTAACAGTGGCAGTCCTACTCGAGGAGGCAGCCATATTGAAAACATTAAATCGCGACGATTGAAGCCTCGCGAGAATACCTCTTCTTCTGTGCCAACCCGCGTGTCAACGCCAGCCAATATCGCCACCTGGAGGACAGTCTTACATTTACATTTAGTCATTTAGCAGACGCTTTTATCCAGCGACTTGCAAGTGAGGACAATAAAAACAGTCAAAACTAACAAAAGAGCAACAATATATTTGTTTTGTTTTTTACATAAAAAAAAGAAGATAAATATAGATAAAGTAGAATTAAAATAGAGTAGAAAGTGCTAGACTTTCAAAGTGTTTTGTTACTCTTGGCTAGCAGCACCTCTACTGTGAAAAGACAGAGCAACTCTTAGACATCATTTTTTGAAAAGGACCTTCAAAGGGGTCTCTTCAGGTTTTATAGAACTGCATCCGGCTGAAGACATGGAGGCAAATGTTGACATGAAAAAAGCGGCCTATACTGATTCAGATATTAATGAAATAAAGCGATAATTGGGCATAATTAATCTTAGCGTTGAATGAAAATGACTATCATTTAGGCATTTAGAAAGCACTACTTGATCGTTCTAAATATGTCAGACTTGAGCAGCACACACTGATGGGGGGGGGTCCATATTTACATTACAGGATATTACTGTTGTTTCTTTTACATTTCTATCGTAAAACAGTTGTTAGATGTAAAATATTTAGCTACATCTTAGCTCACTCTTTGACCGTTAATAACTGTCACGCTGGAAACGTGGCGTCTTTTCCAAATAAATATGTAATAATTATCGTTTCGAATAATTCATTTCATAATGCATTCATTTCGCATTGCCATTTGTGGAAAGGCTTTTCCTTTTTTACTTGGGATATTTGTCAGTCATAAAGAAGAACAACCTACAAGACACAAAATATTCTTTATTAATCTTATTATTTTATTAACAACATTCTATCTATCTATCTATCTATCTATCTATCTATCTATCTATCTATCTATATCAAAGTTTGTTTACAAATTGTACTCATCTAGTTAGCCTACTTTGTTACTGTCTGGAATACTTGACTCTGATTCGTGCTCATGTTGTCTCTAGAAGTAAAATAATATTGTATATATGACATGAATATCTGAACTGCAGCAAAACATACAGTAGGTGGCGGTAAGGAGTGAACGGCCATTGAACACAAAGAAGAAGAAGAAGAAGACTGCAGCAAAACACGAGCAAACGGGAAATCAGAATCTGTCAGGATCCTCGTGGACAGAGGCGTCATCAGCGTTCTGTTCGCTGATTGGTTGTCAGTGTATGAGCCGTTGATACGAGCAGCAGCACACTTCAGTTATCAGCAGCACGCCTAGAACTGCTTCAGTCTGATCTCACCTGAGCAGATGAACCGAGCTCTTGAATATCACAGACTCACGGTGAACAACGAGGACCTTAGGTGCCACACGAGTGAGCAAACAGGTAACGTTAATCATAACTCCGCTACATGAGCTAGTGTGCTGTTTGTAATGTTCTCCAGTGTATTTGTGCAGTGTCATGATGAGTGTCTGATATTTACATCACTCCAGGGTGCTACTGTGTACAGTCTCATTCATCTGTGATCCTGCTTTAAGTCGTATTTAAAGGGATAGTTCTGTCATCATTTACTCACCCTCATGTCGTTCCAAACCTGTATGAGTTGCTTTCTTGTGTTGAACATAGAAGATATTTTGAAGATTGCTGGTAATCAAACAGTTGGTGGTTGCCATTGACTTCCATAGTAGGGGAAAAAATACTATGGAAGTCAATTTTTACAGTTAAAACTTACAGGTTTGGAACGACATGAGGGTGAGTAAATGATGACAGAATTAAATTTTTGGGTGAACTATTCCTTTAAGTCACTTCCCTTTTCTGCCAATACAAAGTCCGAGTAATGACGTGTATATGCTTTTTTTAATGCAGAAGTTTAATAACATAAACTTGATGTTATCATGTACAGTAATCGTTGATATATTAATGATAAAGTCTGCAGTAAAGCAAAATCATGTATCATTAGTATGTCCCTGAAAATCCATATTTCTTGTAACTGTCAGGCTGTCACTTGAAAAGTGAAAAATGGCACGAAGCATATGACAACAGTGTGTTTCCTTCTCATTGTAGATTTTCTGCCATGCCTGTCAAACGGGAGGACGTCCTGAAGGATGAAAATCTGATCAAAAATATAGAGGAGGTAGCAAAAGACACAGCACTTTTACATGGGGTGTTGATGAGGACCAAAGAAACGCCAAACTCTCCTGAAGTAAGAGCACATCGCTGTATTGTGTGCCTGGAAGAAATGTCTTTTAGACATTAACAAGCACTGCTGATCTAAACCACAAAACCCACCAAGAGTACGTAAGTACACATTGGTACATCTAGAGCTGTAATATTTCTGTAACTACACACATGTAACAACCGTCCGAATGGTTTGTGTAAGTACAAATGTGTAACAGGACATATAGATAACTACATTTTGTAACAACAATATGTATAAGAGTAATTGGAACAATTGTTACTATGTAAGTACACAGGTGTTAGGGACACTTAATATAAAGTGGGACCCAATATGGTGATAGAAATACTAACCAACATCTAGTCACAGAGGTGCAGTTAATTCACAGTCACGTCTGGAATTCTGTCTGTCCTACGGCCATGTTTTGTTTCTGGATTATGGAGAGTTAGTTCTGCCCCGTTGAGTCAACACTGGGCAGAAACCCGTGGCTCAAAGAATCAGGAGTGACTGAAGGGTTTTGATCGTGTAGATACATGTCGAATAACTGTCTATTTGTTCACAGGTGGCGAGTTATGCACCGTTCACGTTGTTTCCCACACCGGTGCCCACAGTACTCTTTCATCAGGCTTTGGCAGTACAGACACATTTTAACCGGCTGGTGGACCGGGTCAGCCAGAATCCTGGCTTCCTAGAGGAAACTCTGGCCAGGTATGAAAAGATTGCACTATTGCAGGGTTTCCCAAACTAGGGACAAAAATATTTGGGAATCCCCTACCCTAATGAATTGCAAGTTAACTTCATTGAGTGTCCTTTGAGTGTCTTATTGCCTTATTGTGTACATTTTAATGGTGAAATGTGTCATTTTTTATATTAAAATATGGTCTTTTCTACCAGCTTAATATGCAGAGACAAACATTTGGGACTATCTGTCTGTCCAACCAATGGGAGATTGTTTGGGAATCTTTTATTCCATCAGTATTTTTGCCATTCCATTTTGTGGCACTAGAGGCATCAAAATGTCACCTTTAATTCAAACTTTATTAATAATTTTGGTGTGATCTTATCTAAATAAATGTTTTTTGTTTTCTTTTTCAACAGCACCATCAAAGTTGACAATTTTACAGCAAGACTTTTCAACATATACAAACAAGTTCAGCATGAACATCATCCCCAGGTATATTGATTTACCAGTAGTTTGTTTATTAATTCAAAATGGCATGTTACACATTATTTAGGAACATTTACTTCACTGTTCGTGTTCTATTATACACTATTGTTCAAAAGATTTTGAAAGAAATGAATACTGTTTTTCAGCAAGGAAGAATTACATTTATCAAAAGTGACAGTAAAGACATTTATAATGTTACAAAAGATTGCAATTTCAAATAAATGCTGTTCTTTTGAACGTTCTATTCATCAAAGAATCCTGAAGAAATGCCAGTTTCCACAAATATATTAAGCAGCACAACTGTTTTCAACATTGATAATAACAAATGTTTCTTGAGCAGCAAATCAGCATATTAGACTGATTTCTGAAGGATCATGTGACACTGAAGACTGGAGTAATGATGCTGAAAATTCAGCTTTACCATCACAGGAATAAATGACATTAAAAACATGTTTTAAATTGTATTACACATTTTTAATAATATACAAGATATTAATTTCAAAAACATTTTTAAAAGAATCCTAAACGGATAACGGTAGTGACATGTACAGTATCAACAGTGCGTCTCCTCTTCCATGAAGTACAGCTGACTACTTATAAATGTAATATTAATGCTATTGTGTAGGTTATTAAGACACATTTGCTTAAACTATAGCTCATATCTTCCCCAAGTCAATAGTGCTGGGCTTGAATCGCTCAGACTACATGTTGGACCACAGTCCAGACGGTGGAACGTCTTTGAAGCAGATTGAAATCAACACTATTGCTGCAAGTTTTGGTGGTCTTGCTTCACGGACACCGGATGTCCATCGGTAAGTCTGAGCTAAATGCTAAATTTAAAGCTCCAAACAGCACTGGTTCATCACTGAAGTACTGGATGATGTTTAGTATATAAAGGTTAAGGTTTCTCATTTCTGCAAGGCACATTCTGAAGGTCGCAAACCTGCCAGAGGAGTGTAATAATGTGCTCGACAACAACCCAGCAGCAGGTCTGGCTAGAGGTTTGGCCAAAGCCTGGGAGCTCTATGGATCTGAGAGGTGTGTTTAAAAATGGCATTTGCTACTGTTTTGGCAAAGCTGAATTCTCAGAGACTTTGGAACTGTTTTGTACTTATAGTTGATAGGTTGTATCAAATTGAATTGTGAAAGTTAGTGTTGTAGGCACTTGATGCTTTTAAGTGTTTACTTTGTAATTGAAATGATAAAGTGGTCATTTCTTCGTGTTGTCCCTTGCAGGGCAGTGGTTATGTTTCTGGTCGAGGACGTTCAGAGGAATATTTATGACCATCGATATGTTGAGAATGAGCTGTGGAAAAGGTACAGTAAGTAGTCTGATAGTTTAGCTATAATCAGGATTCAGTGTCAAGTTATTTTACATTAGTTACTATGTAATTACTATGTAACTACATGAATGTTATTACATTAGTAAGTACAAGTCATGAGCAACATGAATGTAACACATCTTTATTAGTGGTGTTTGTGAAGCAAAAGCATCTCTGTTACTATTTCTTCCAAACAAGAGCTTATGGGGTAACACTTGTTTTTAAGGTGTCCTTGTTACACGTTACATGAACTTACTATTATAATAACAATACATTATGCATAATAACATGCAAGTAACCCTAATCCTAACCCTAACTATATAGTAAGTACATGTAGTTAATTAATATTTCTCAGTATAATTACACTGTAACAAGGACACCTTAAAATAAAGTGTAACCACTTATGGGGACTTGTGATAATCTGTTCTTTTACATGTGCAGAAATATTCCTGTAATAAGAAGACAGTTTGAAGATGTTTGCAGAACTGGATCCCTGGATGAGAGCAAGAGGCTCTTTGTGTGAGTGTTTATGATTTACACATTTCCCATCCGTGTAACACACAAATATTAGCATTGTGAAATACTAGGAAATGACAGCAATGTTCAGTCATTACCTGACTATTTTTTACATTTAAAATGTACATAAAGGCATTCTTTTTCTATTCAACCTGCAGAGATGGTCGTGAGGTCGCCATTGTCTACTTCCGTAACGGATACATGCCCCAAAACTACACCTCAGAGAAGGTGAGGACACATCTTTCCCATAGTCTTCTCAGAAATTATCAGTTTTAGGTGTTTGCTGGGAATGAAAGTCATAACCTGATGCATGTTTCAGAGCTGGGAGGCCCGTCTGATGATGGAGCGCTCTCTGGCTGTGAAGTGTCCAGACATCAGCACCCATCTCGCCGGTACTAAGAAGGTGCAGCAGGAATTGGCCCGGCGGGGGGTTCTGGAGCGCTTCTTCCCTGACGAACCTAAAACAGTTGCTCAGATTCGGGCCACTTTCGCTGGGCTGTACACCCTGGACATGGTAGAGGAACAACATTGTTAACTGGGGTGCTGAATCCTGCTTGAGGAGATATACCCTACGATTAGATTTAGGATTATACCTTACGATTAACTCTAATGAAGCACTTGAAACAAACTCAAGGGTTACACAGGAATCACCATCATAAACACACTAGACTTTAAGCATGCAAAATTTCTACAGACACTTGGAAGTCAATGGAATGGAAAGTGTAGTGTGACTTTCCCTTAAAGGGATAGTTTACCCAAAAAAATTAAAATTACCCCATCATTTACTCACCGACAAGTAGTGGTGTCAAACGATTAATCGCATCCAAAATAAGTTTTTGTTTACATAATATATGTGTGTGTACTGTGTATATTTATTATGTATATATAAATACACACACATGCATGTATATATTTAAGAAAAATGTTACATTTATATATTAAATATATTTATATATGATATAAATTATACGAGTATAAATATAGACATGAAAATACATGTAAATATTTTCAAAATATATGCTGGATGTGTGTGTATTTATATATACATAATAAATATACACAGAACACACACATACATTATGTAAACAAAAACATTTATTTTGGATGCGATTAATCGTTTGACAGCACTACCGTCAAGCCATCCTAGGTGTATATGACTTTCTTCTTTCAGACAAATGCAATCAGAGTTATATTAAAATATGTTCTGAACTTCTGGCTCTTCCAAGGTTTATAATGGCAGTGAATGGCTGTTGAGATTTTGAAGCCCAGAAAAGTGCATCCATCCATCATAAAAAGTGCTCCACACAGCTCCGGGGGGTTAATAAAAGCCTTCTGAAGTGAATCAATGCATTTGTGTAAGAAAAATAGCCATATTTAAAACTTTATAAACCGTAATCTCTAGCTTCCGCTAACTGTCGTACACACGTTCACAAGAGAGTGGCGTTTTAGCGGATGATATAGGCGTAGCGTAAGCTCCGGCGATGAGAATATGCTAGTCTCGTGAGAACCAAGAACCTTGCGTCTCCTCTTGGCTTATATCTAAATCCCCCAACATATACTGTATATATATATATTTATTTTTTACAAATCCTCGTTTTGTACTTATAATTCATGACCAGTATTTTGTTTAGCTCTCTTCTTTACGCTTCCGCGTTCGTCACTTCTCACCGGATTTTACGCTACGCCGACATCCTATGTCTTCCGCAGAGTATGCCAAGTAGCTAGTCTGCCAAGACCAAATACATTACATTATAACATTGTCATTCTAAAACTATTCCGAGTTTTCATGATTGAAATATGAACAATCCACATGAATGAAACCATTGTCAAGCTGCTTGTTGCCTCTTTTTTTGGCTGATTGTCGGCCAAATAATAGCATAGAGAGCACATGAAAATGATGTATTCTGCTAATTATTATTTTATTAGAATTATTTCCTAATTCTATTTTCATTTTTTTTTTATTTCAGTTTGTGAAAAAAAATATTTTCATTTAAAATAAAAAAAAAATTCATTTTAGTTATAGTCTATGATAATCTTGGTAGAGCACTAAACTTCAGACAGACTGAACATCATAAGCAGGATTGAGCACCACTGTTGAAACTAAAATATATAATATATATTTTTTTTTAAATAGGTCATGAATCATCCTGTCTTTCCACAGGGAGAAGAAGGTGATAAAACAGTAGCAATGGCTTTGGCCAGTCCAGACCGGTATGTGCTGAAGCCTCAGAGGGAGGGAGGTGGTGAGTATCACTAGTCATGTCCTGTGTTGTGTACCCACATACAAATCACAAACACTTGCTCAAAGATTTCCTACTGTATTGTTACCAGGTAACAACATTTACGGCAGTGAGATCTGTGAAGTGCTGGAGAACCTGAAGAACTCCACTGAGAGGACGGCTTACATCCTGATGGACAAGATCCAGCCCGTCCCGGTCCAGAACTACCTGCTCAGGCCCGGAGCTCCTCTGAGACTGAACTCTTGTCTGAGTGAACTGGGCGTGTTTGGAGCGTATGTCAGGTGCGATTATTTCTAGCAGATCTTTAACAAAACCTCTGCTTTTATTGTACAAGCATACCTAAAATTCACTGCATTACAGAATAAAACTGCAAATTTTTCCACACACAGGAAAGGCAAAGACATGGTGTTTAATGAGTGCCTGGGCCATCTGCTGAGGACCAAGAGCTCAGAGCATGCTGATGGGGGTGTGGCTGCAGGAGTAGCAGTACTGGACAACCCACTGCTGGTGTGAACTACAGCACCACCTACTGGACCATACGGCTGACGTCAGGGGAATTCATCATCCCTGTGATTGATTTTCTACCTGGCATCTGTTTTATCAAAGGTTTAGTGTGTTAAATATCTCCTACAGATGCAGTAATCAGTGGGGAGCACTTATGACTGAACTGCTCATTTCATGCACATTGCATACCTCATTCAAGGGTTAATCTGTTGAAGTGTGTGAGAAGTAATCATTGATGTTTTATAAAATAGATTTTTTTTTTTTTTTGGTTACTTTAACTGGTAATGGTTTTATTAAACTACACTGGTAGCCAACTTCCATGACCAGACACAATCAGAAAGTAGTTGTTATTTTTAATTAAATAAATGCAGCCCAAACCCCAAACTTTTGAGTGGTAGTGTATATTTACTGTGGAAACATTATGTAATTTCAATGAAATGTAAAAAGATGTTCAAGGACCATCTACTGGAGATTATTTTCTAGACATGCACTAAGACACATAAAAACATAAACCTGCGCAAATAAAGTAAAAATCGAATTCCAATCAAACATCTTTCTGAAATCCACATTTATTTCAATCTCCACATTACAGCCACAGAAATCGCACTCTCATCACCAACCAACCAAAAGTCAACACCAGAAACACCTCCATCCTCTCGTTCATTCACTCAACTCTGGACACGTCACTGTCAACTTCTGAAAAACTATAATGGTTCCAATAAAGCAAGAAAGTACAAAGATGATACAAGACATGCATCAAATTTCAACCAATGAAAAAAGAAGAAATGGCTTGACACAATGACAAGACCTCAACAGTTTAAACAAGGCCAAAAGAGTTGTTCTGAAAAGAGAAATCGTATGAGCTGTATTGAATAGTAGGATTATTATGATGATGCTGAAACATTCTGAAAATGTTACAAAGAAAGAAAGTGGAGTCTCTACACATTTTCTTGGGTGTTTAGCTTAATATCCTGGCTGAAAAGCAACAGGCAGTCAGTGAAGTTAGATTAACGGGGAACAGATAGACAAAGGCTCAGACGAACTAACGTCAAATCATCTATCGGAATGTGCAGGGCAGAATGACGCAATGATCCACATAGTAACGTCCCTCCTGCCTCACAATAGTACATACTTCATGATGTACACACTTGCTTTTCCACAAAACAATGAAAACGCATCAATGCAAGCGCCAACTGAACATGAAAACTAAAGAAAAAACACTGAGTGGTTCTAACTACTTGATATGAAAGAAAGTAAAAGAAACTTGTGTGAGACAACCGATAAAACAAACTCTGATTACAGCCGTTTCATTTAGTAGATTTTACATGCGTTGATGCTTCTTTTCCCCCGTTTCCCCAAAAAAGCCCAAAATATACAATGAATATATACACGTTATATTCACTACAGTGACACTTAACAACAAAAAGGCATTCTCGTATGGATTTTATATCATAGCAAAGCCATGAAAATTGATGAACGTATTTAAAGCATCACTGCCTGATTTTTGACGCCTAAAATCCCAATCTTCCCATGACTCTTTTCCTATGAAGAAAAAGCAATGTTGAACATAGGAAACGATCTTTATTTTAAATCAAGCCTGAATGATAGTCACATGACAGACGTCACATGCTGCGAGCCCCTAACCAACACGCCGCCGCAAAGTACCGCCACGTAAGCGTATAGTAGCAGGGTCAGTAAAAAATTAAAAAGACCCCATCCCTGACCCGATGAGAGAACCACGGCGGTCGGTCGCCAGACAACCATTAAGCACTTACTTTTTAAAAACTTCAATTTCTGCGTAAAAAAAACGGTATATAAAAATATACGTTTTGTGCAGTACAAGTTAGTGCAATTATATTTTTTCCCTCTTGTTCTTCTCATTGGCACTTAGTGAAAGTTATGATCATGAGAGGGACGCTCTTTCCTTTCTGACCACTGGGAAAGAGAAGACAAAGCTGCACTGAGCTGTGACTGGACAATATATTTTGATGAATTCGATCATTTGGCAATTACACACCTGCCCAATTGTTTCTTTGATTCCCATCATTAATGGTTAAACTGCTACATTTTTTGGGAGCTACATTTTGATTGCCAGTTTTGGATGATCTGATGAAAGCTTAAACATGATTTAATTCCCATACCTTGAAACAAAAAGCTACCAGCTTGGGTTGGAATTAGAGTTTCTTTTTTTAAGGAATAATTTGACCCCAAAATAACAAATGTTAAAAAAAAAAAGCATTTTGAAATATTTCTTTATATACATACCTTAAAAGGATAGTGTACCCAAAAATCCCAATCATTCTTCATGTTGTTTCATACCTGTATGACTTTTTTCTTTTGTGGATTGCAAAAGGAGATATTTTGATATTATCTCTAGTATTTCTGTCTGGTAATTTTGTCCATACAATGAAAGCCAATGGGGTCCAATGTTGTTTGTAAACCCCTCTAACTTCAATTGTATAGACAAAAACTACTTTTAAAATATCTTTTTATGTTTCAAACAGGTTTGAAACGACATAAGGGTGAGTAAATGATGACAGAATGTTTATTTTGGGGTGAACTGTTCCTTTAAGATACAGATCACATTAAAATGTCCAATGACTGTCAGTGTTTCATGGGTTCAGTGCAAAAAATTATATATGTATATGTGTATATATATATATATATATATATATATATATATATATATAAAATCAAAATAGATTTTTTATATGTATATGTGTATATATATATATATATATATATATATATATATATACAGAGAGAGAGAGAGAGAGAGAGTCTTGATTTCCAGTACAAATATTTAAACACTCTTAAATTAAGATACATTTACTTAGATATGACTTATTTTCTGAAAACATATAACAAACGTAAGTGAGTTTATGCTTAAAACCAGAAGAAAAAAATCTAGAAAAAAAAAAAAAACAATTCAAAGGGAAAACAAGATTTTTTTTCTTGCTTTAAGCATAAACTCACTTAATTTTGATAAACTTTTAAGAAAACAAGTCATTTTCATTCTCAAGCAGATGTATCTTGATGTTTAGGTATTTGTATACGAGACAAAAATACACAACAAAACTTTAGTTTTTTTAGCAGTGTAAGAGCTCAGAGCTGCTTCACTCATATTGAGAGGATCAGATAGCACACCGTTTACATGAAGACATCACATGATCACCTCGATATGACAAAAAAGCACAGTGGAAGACGTCTACACGTTATCAGAGCAAGCGTTTCCTTTACGTCAGTAATATCCATATGCTGAATGAGAAGCAAATAATTCCTTAGGAAGCATAATGTTATGCGGGAAGGCGTGTTTGTGTGGAAAACACTCGATTTATGGATCACATTAGACTGGGATGACTTCCCTCGACAGCAGATTGACTGTTAAATCCGAAGTGTGGCCGGTTAAAGTGCCTGCCATTGAATTAATACTGTGGACTGACAGGAATAAACCTCAGCTTATGAAGAGGCAGTTGATCTGTGAGGGACAGAATAGTTTGGGTGCGTTAGCGCAGAGAGAGGCCAGTTTACATTCCTGCACTACAACTCCTCGCGCTGAAGTACACTAAAGGCTCTCTCCGAAAGGCTCATTCTTGTTTAGAGGTATTACTTTAGCAATGTGTGTCGAAACAGTTCTTGACTATTTGCTAAAACGCTCAACGCGCCGATTGCGATGCAATGCTAAACTGTACTCCGCTTGATCAAAATCAAAATGGCCATTAAAAAGTGCTTGTAGGCAAAATGAAGCGGTAAGTCCAGAAACAGTTTGATTTGGAACAAAACCAAGTTGTTTGAAGCTTCAATGATGTCCGTATAAATTAATTTGAGTTGCTCGGTAAGTGCGGGAAGAGGGTTAACTGTTTAAAATACTCAACAATACCCATCAAAAATAGCTTACGGAGTTTTTAACAGTAAAAACTGCTATGTATAAAGTCTGCCACACTTAAAATCAGCAAAAATCGTTAGCTGTACTCCACAGAACGCACACAAAACATGAAAGTATAATAAACTGCCTGGACAATCTGCTTTGAATGTTTTGTTTCTGGATTACTTAAGAAAAAACGTATTTTTGCCTTAATATGCAATGCAGCAAACGCTTTTTTTCCTAAATTCTTTTTCTCTTTTTTTTGCTTTTCATCAGGTTTTTTTTTTCTGAATAAAAGTCTCAGTGTTCCACTATGGAAGCGGTAAGAAAAGAGCACCCCTTGTGGCCTGGAGGAATCAGCCACATGCCTCAGACGGACACATCTCAGCTCATGAAGTTCACTCTGAGAGTGTGCAGGAGACACCGGCGCTCAGTCCGTGGAACAGCCGCAATAAACAAGCACATTTTGAAGTGGGGTAAAGGATAAAGCTCAGTCAGTGAAGCGCTGGCAGGCCTTCTTCCAGCGGCACGCTGTGCACCACAGGTCCCTCTTCTCCATGCCGTACACCTTTCGGCACTTCTTGGCGTCGCCACGCGGTTTCCTGGGAATGCATTTCACATAGTTTCCATTTTAGCTGTGATGCAAGGCTTTAAAAACATCTTAAACCAAGAACATCCAGGCAGCTTACCTGGTTCCAGTAGTGGGTTTGGAAGTGGAGGTGTTGGTGGTGTGTGTTTTGCTGACAGTGGTGTGGTTAACAGGCTGTCTCTTCTCACCGATGCTAACAGTGCGGATTTGAGTCATCGGGCCCTGCAAAAGCATTTTATGTTAAAGGTGATCTAAAGCTCAACCAAATACACAAAAGTTAAGACTTATTTACATCTCAGCTGGCACTTCTACCATTCAAAATTTGGAGTCAAGTAAGATTTTTTAATGGGGTCATATGATGTGATTTCAAGTTTTCCTTTCTCTTTGGAGTGTTACAAGCTGTTCGTGAATAGATAAGATCCCTAAAGTTGCAAAGACTAAAGTCTCAAAACCAAAGAGATATTCTTTATAAAAGCTAAGACTGGTCCACTCCCTCCTAAAACGGCTCGTTCTAACACGCCCCCACATGTCTACGTCACGATGTGGGAAGATTTGCATAACGCCGCCCAAATGTTCACGCAAAGAAAGAAGGCGTAACTTTATTGTTGCTGCCGCCACCGCTGCCATGTTGTGGAGACGCTGTGTGTTTCGTTGTGTTTTGGTCTTCCAAAAGAGGACACGACTAGAAATCAGTGGTTAAGTTGTATTTACAACACTGTTCCAGAACAGTTTAAACCAAATATTCAGATGTGTGCAGCGCATTTTATGGAGGA